CTGCTTTGCTGATTTCCATGTCACTGCTTGAGTGCACATTTAAATGTACATGAAATATTCAGGCTTGGCTTCCCTTGCCACCTGAATATGAAGTTCTCCAGATTTTGACAAATTGCTCATTTTGCAGCTTGCAGAAGAACTGAACAGAAAATGCTGACCACTAACGAGGCTAGTCTAATTACTTTGATAGAAAATTTGGATCATTGCTATAGAAATGAGACTGAAGGAGAAGAGGGTAGCTCAAGAAAATACAACTGAGATGTTCTTATTTTTGGGAAGGTATCACGTTCGATGCAGAACCATTTTTTTCACAGAGAGCACTTTGCAGTGAGGAGAAAATGGTTGTTTTCTAGGTAGCTTTCATGTTTTGTCTGTACTAAAATGCACACATGACACAATAGTGTAAAATTAAAATGCTGTTTTTTTGGTATGAAGTGAAATAGATGAGTAGCAGCCTAAGATGTACATATAGGTCCATCGTGTCAGTATAGCACGTGTTAGTATAGCAGTATACAAGCATATAGCACCTTGCATACAGCCTTACTTCTACCTTGAGCCTAACATTTCCCACGAGCTTGGTGCTGCCAGGCGATAGAGAACACAGGCCAGAAGGGTGTAGATGGAATTAGGGCATCTGTGGAAGAAAGAGATGGCTTCCATCCTCCGATAAGCATACTTTCAACACAACAGGCAAATTCAATGATTTCCATTTAGCAAGTATATGGCTGAAGCACAGAGGGATTGACTGGCTTAGGAGAAATCACAAAGACCATAGAAATATCTGGGATTTCAACACACGTCTCTTGAAAGGCAATCCAGGACCAGAATATCAAGACGTTTTCCTTCCTGTACCTGCAGTTCGGCAGTAAGTTGACAGCTGGCACAAAGATTATTTAGTATCAACTTATTATGCAGTAGGAAAATATCCAGCATTGCCCCTAAAGTTAAACCATTGTTACTAGACTTCTAGAGCTCTCAGAAAGCTGTATAAGAAAAGTAAACTTTTAGGAATAAACTAATTCATTCTGAGGCCCACAGAAGATGTGAAGCTTTTATGAAGCAGTGAAGGTGGAGGTATAGATCACTACCTCCAGCGTCCTGGATCACTGTCTTGCTCCTGTGCAAGCTTCCTTCTTGACCTTAGGCAAGTAACTCTGGGTGTGCTTCATCTCTCCTACGCTGAAAATAGTTAGTTGTCTAGGCCAAACTAGTGAGTGATAGCTCACACTTCTTGTCCTCTGATGATTTTTCACAATAAGAAAAACAAGCCATTTTTTTTCTCCTAATCCTGAAATAGTTAAGATTTTAATAGTGTGCTATAATTACCTAGAGAGTAGGAGAGGTAGCACAACATACTTCCTACTCACACCAAATCCATTAAAGCCTGTCTAAGGGAAAAATAAAAGCCTCTTTTAGACGAGATTCTACAAAATTGCAGTAGCATTTTGTTCCCTCTCAATTCCATCTGGCTCTCTGCTAGTCCCTTAGCTCAAAATCCCACTATTCTCCAGCGTTGCCAAGACCTTACTTGATTTTATTGGAGCAAACAGGCGAGAAGACTTTTAGTCCAGAATAAATCCACACAGCTTAGACTGGAAGGCGAAGGACTTTAGAAAATTCTTCAGCAACTCGCAAGGGATTCTTCCTCACTTCCCCTCCTATAATAATATATAGGATTATATGACAGTTTTAGTATCCTCCATGTTACACTCTAGAAACGGTTGTGTTATGAGGAAACCAAATAATAGTTAAGGGTATACTTTTCCTTTGTAGGATATCTTTTCTACTGTTACAGACATGCTGTTACTAACTCTCTACCAAGAGGTTAAAAAATATTTAAAATAGGGCCAGATTTCTGCTGCTTTATAGTTTGTGTGTGTGAAATCCCAGACATATCTAGCTTCCAGGGCCTTTGAATTTTTTGTAGAATTTTCATTTCTGTTCCTAATTTTCTACAAGGAAAAGGGTTTCAAATGCTGCTGTGTCTCTGAAATTATTTTATCTGTTCACCTTTCTTTATTGATTATCTCTTAAAGATATGGTGCTTTTACACAGAAATTGTCAGAGGGGAATCTCCTGAGTATTTAATGCGCAACATGCGCCTGAATTATTTTTTATGGACAGCAGGTGCTTTTTTCAAATTCATCAATAAGCAAAAGAGTATGGAAAATGCCTTAGAGATTTACTTTTGAAAGTACATTTATCATGTGCAAGTATAGGAGGGATGTGTCTAAAATGGTCATGAAAATGGAGGCTGTTTCCTTCACTGAATTAGCTTAAATCCTACCAAAATTATATCATTTGCACATCTTCCCATCCACAGGCAGCCCTGAGTTGTGCATAGATTTATGTGGAGCAGAGTGTAGTCTGCGGGAAGTGATACTTGTAGTGATGGCTACATGAGGACCGCTGGGTGAAAGAGCATAGTGCAGGTACTGTTAAGTGATTTAACTTTCTACTTCATTGCTTATATAGGTTACGTGCGTATGAACTCTAGCTGCTTTAGAGCGAAGTTCCGTTTGTTTTTGTTTTATCTATCACCTTGTAAATTTTGGTATCTTCATTACCAAGCTCAGCAGAATAAACCCACATTGCTCAGTGTTGGTGACTCAGTATGTACCCCAAATAAAAGATCCGTAACTGATATAATAATAATCTTATCTGTAATTCCCTGTTTCAGTTCATGGAAATGGAATATGATTCAATTCCCCTGAGGTACTCAGACTGGAAGATGTGCTATATAAACTGTATGAAACCTTTTGAGATTCAGGACACCACTTTTATTTATATAATATATAAAATACTATTCTCTTTCTGCTTCAGCCTTTTTTTCTTTCGAGATTAGTAGAGCATAATAATTTACAGTATTTTGCATACAATAAGTTCTTCCTGTTTCATTCTTTCAGTTTAAAAACCAGAAGGATTTCCCATTTATATTCATGCTAAAGATACATAGAGTTAGCATACTACGTACACTAAAACATGTTAAAGGTTATCTAATCAAAGCACCATAGGAGGGAAATAACATCTATAAAGATTAGAGATTAGACTGTTACCTACTGAAGAATTTCATATGTTCTCATGCTTTATTATGTCAGAGAGCATATGGAAACATCAGTTGCTGGACAGTTCAGAGACAGAATACAGGACCAGTGAGTTTTGGATCTGATTCCAAGAAAGAATTTCTCCTACTTCCCTCCCTCTCTCCCTCCCTCCCTTCATTCCCTCTTCCCTCTATTCCCTCTCTTCCCTCCCTTCCCTCCCTTCCCTTCCTTCCTTTTCTTCCTCCCTCCCTCTATCTTTCTCTTTCTTTCTTTTCCTCTCTTTTTTCTCTCTCCCTCTTTCTCCTCTCCCCTCTCTCTCCTTCTTTTAGCTGATAATGTGGGGCTTATGTGTGTGTGAATGTATTTTAATTGTGTATATATTTAAATATATCTCTATATATGTGTGTTTATACATTTGCATATATATGCCTTTGCATAGGAGTGGGTGTATATGTGTTAATGGACAAGTTTTCTGTATAAAAAAGATTCAACTAATTGGAGTGAACTAGGTCTTCAAACAAAGATTTCAGGGAAGTTAACCATTTAAGTGACAAGTTGAAGATAGCATTTGGGTAATTTGGAGAAGGGAGTTTAGGGCCTCTGATCCCGAGAGCTGCCGGAGACTGCTACTGGTGTCGCTGCACTGGAGCTCCAGCCCAGCACTGAGCTCCCCCAACACCTTCAGTCCCATTTCTGCCCAATTCCCTTTCACTATGAGTATGTGGGTATAATCTGAATAGACCTCAGTTTATACGAGGAGTAGAAGGGACACGGCCTTTTCCTTCTGCTGCTGTCACCTAACAGGAAGGTGGCTGGTCCTTCCCCCACCCTCATCCTTTGGACAGCGGGAGTGGGCCATTTCTGCTTCTTGCTGTGGTCCAGCACTGGCCTTTAACTCTGTCATGGCTGAGAAGAAATAGCTTTCTGAAATAGACCAAAAGGACAATGAAACAATACACCAATTACTGCAGGCAGCCAGGATGGAGGAAAAATGAAAGTCATAATTATCCTGATGGGCCAATTACACTCCCCAGAAGCATTATAAATGTGTACAATAATAGCAATAGTGTTTTCTTACCTGGCATGTTTAAATAGCAACTACTTATAAATTTGTCAATAACACAGAGTCCTTGAGAATGTGTGAGAAGTTTTTAGATAGTAAATGAAATATATTTCAAAATGGACATATCTATTTCCATATCAATATTTTATGATCGCAAAATCTGTCCTTATCATGATTAAATAGATGAATCAAACATCAGCATTTTGGTAAAAATATAAGTACATGGCATACTTTCTCTCCACAAAAGTTCTACATATACATCATTTTAATCTATTTTTAAACTAACTGCCCCCAGAGTGCCACACACAGTTAAAAGAGACTGGTGGCTTTATACTGGATGTTGGTTAAGGCAGCATACAGGAGTGACATGTTAGGGCAAGAAACAGGCTCTTCTGAAATACAATTCACTGCATATATTAGACAGTTTACATGTGATGTCTGCGGTAACTCTGCTGTTACTCTCCGGCAGAGTTGGGGCTGGCCTCTGCGATTAAGGCTTCCAGCATCCTAGACGAGTGCTCTAGGCACCGGGCTATGGAGGCAGTCTCTCTCCCTTTGTTTCTATCACTGTATTCCTGTCTTTCACGCAATGAATATTTAATTATACATACAGGCTGCAACAGCTCTTACAGAAGGCAAGAGTGTTCTTCCGGAGCTAAGAAACCTCACCCAGTGAAATTCAATCAGAGCTGACATATTCCTGTGCCAAATGTTGGATTTGAAGAATTTGCGCCTTCTTCACACCTTATGAGGAAATCTTGACCATCGCTACGTATTATACAAAACTTCTTCCTCATGTCCTTTGAGATGTTAATAGATTTTCAAGGAAATCATATCAGGAAAGGATGATAAATATGCTCCAAGCAAAATAAAATGAGTATGAATTCTCCTACCTTATCAAAAGGTCAGTTTTGGTGTCAAATGTCTGTTCTGTAATTTTGCCAAGGAGGCTTGCAAAGCTCGATCTGGTACTTCTTCCTGAGATAGTTCTCCTGAATTTGTTGGTAATTTTTCCTTGCATTAACGTTGCCTAATATCCTACAGATTGCCTGGTGTTGGGTTGTGCAGGGTTGCAAGAGCTGCTCAGTGAATCCTCACCATTGTCCTTATGCAGCGCTCTGGAGGCCAGTGTTTTGCAAGCACAAAACATCTCTTCATGGAGACATGGGGGACAGCAAACTGGCACAAAATGGACTGAAGATCATGAATGGCTCACTTGCGCTGTTACTACTATGGGGAAATACAGAAAACATGCAGTTTAACTTTCATATTCCAGTTTTAAAAGATTACTAGAAGATTAACCCTCCCCCCAAAAAAACTCTACTCCAGTTTGCACAAGTTCTTTACTTGAAACCTGAGCCTGTTAGCTAAAAAGAAACATGAGAAGTTAGTTCCTATGGTAAAGTGCTTTTAAAAGCACTTTCTATATCAGAATTCCACCCCAAGAAGTACCTCTGAAACTTGGGACGTTCCGTAGCCTTGGGGATCATCATGGGCTAGATAGTTTAGAGTAAATAAGAGGCGGTTCAGGATATAATATATTTTTCTTTTATTAACATACAGCTGAGTTTGCAAGGCTAGGATAGACGAGGCTTTGAAATAAAATAGGTTATATGCAATTCCTGCATTGATTTGACAGGGTATGAAGCGGTGAAGAATTCAGGTCCCAGCACTGAGACATCAAACCAAATATGTGTTCGGAAATGATATGCAAGAGGCTAAATATTTGTTTATGAAATTATGAGGCAAAAAGGCAACTTTTTTTTTTATTATGAAAAATCATTCTCTTTCAGGGATCAAACCCCTCAGGAATATTATTTGTTAATAAGAAGGACCCAGCTGTTTGCATCCACTAACCCATTTCTTTTGTTGAATTGTAAGTTTTCAATGTAGAACTATTATAGAAAAATGCAAGGCCCACTCAGCATAATAATGATTTTAATGATTTTGAAGTATATTAAAAATTTTTCTCCAGCAGCTTACTGTGATATATCAGTATGTAGCTGTCATTACTGTCCCAGCTGCTGTTTCTGACAGATCTCGTGTATGACAGCTTAAGAATACATAATGCCTAACAGAAATAAATACTTTGCCTGGGGTGGTCTTTATTGCTAATGTTGGTAGATACCAAAATTTATTGTTCCTGGGATGTTCTGACTGAGGAATAATAGTGACACTTATGTTTAAAGTAAATTATGCTTAGTTCATAGTAATAGCTGACATTTCCTCTTATTTTCCTTTTTACAGTAAAGAGATATTGACATTTTTAAAAAGAAAAATGATAAAAAAGCTAAACAAACCCCAATTTCTTGTCTTCCTTGACAGGCCTATTTTCTCTTTTCACCAATGGGCCTATTTAGTGATGTTACCTACATAGAGTAACTGTTGTTTGTTATATGACAGAAAGAGATGAAATGGGAGATACACAGAAAGTTTTGGAAGTGAATCATTGCCTCTAAAGTGAAATGTCTGATGCCACTGAAACAACTAAAGATATCCCATCTGAGTGGGATTAAAACCCCAAAGCAGAGCTTACAAGTTTATTTTCTGGTTCTCTGGCAGTTAAAATATTAATGATAATGTTCTTGGTTGATCACGAGGTGTCAAATGGGGTCAGCTGATAATGCTAATGTACCTTCCTTAGAAACTGGAAACGGATGAAAGAATATGGGTGCAATCTAGGAAGGAGCAAAAAAGTAAAAACCAAAAAAAACTGTACTACTACTACTGACTTTATCCTGAACCAGCACAAGAAAAAAATAGTGCTGCAAATATGTATTCACTGTAAAGAGAGGAAACTTGATTTCATCTAATATCTCCAACCACATATATCAAATTCAGAGGCCAGATATCTTGCCTGGCATGTTGGAGTACAAAGGGAACATTAGCCGTTGCAAAGAGGAGAGGGGTGATGACATGTGCCCTCTGCACAGCTGATGGAGTACTTGATCAAATGGTGGCAGTGGGATTTCAGCCTGCTATGATAATAAATTCTGTTTCACCTTAAAGATCTAAAGGATGGCAAAATACAGCTTAAAAACTCTGAGTCAGAGCTGCTATCTGGCCAAGAACGCAGGAAAGGAGAAAGTGGATATTTCCAGTAATATAAGGAATGATTCTTCACTCTAACTAAATGTCTCTTTTCAAAAATTAGTGCCCAAATCTTTCTTTCGTCCAGTGCTTTCCCTGCCTTTATCATGCATTGTGTTAAATTTGATTACTTGTCAAATTGCCTGCAATTAATGTATTTTTCATGGAGTTACACTGATTTACATCCTTATGATTGGTGCTAAGAGAGTGTGTGTGACAGAAGGCACTGAGAGAAAAAAGTCTGTTTCATTCTGGAAGCTGGACAGTGGGACGTGGGCTGGCAAATCTGGAAAACCTTTGCTTTCACAGTAGCATTCTTATAACGGGAAGTGCCTGAGACTCCAGGAGAAAAAAACCACTCCAATGGGTGACGCTGATGATCAGCCTTTTCCATTTATTTGGAAACGAGCTAATTTTTCCCCCAGCCTTTTTGCCTCCTATGTTTAACGCAATTAATCAGAAAAGTTGTTTTTACCAGAGACAGAAAACAGTGGTGGTATTGGTGGTGAGCATAGCCTTGGCAGTGGTGGTGTTGTAGGGCCACAGACCAACCCTCATATATCCTATGGGAAACCCGGTAGGTGACTGGAAGTGGCTCTCAGGAGAAGTGGCAGCATTACAGCTCTTGAGGCAAAATCTTGTATTTACTTGAAAAAAACGGATACCTCCATGGTTTTCCCACGGTACCTTGATCATCAAGTGGAAGGACTACATTTGCAGAAGGGTCAATAGGGTAGGTCAATCTTCACATCTGCTTGTCTTTTTTCCTCCTTAAAGTTGGGATTAATTTCCTTCAGCTTTAGCCATCCAAAAGTGAAAAATAGGTTAAGGCAGTGGACCAAACTTCTGCTAGGGTCAGTGGAGGCAGCAAGGGAAGAGAACAAATGAGAGAGAGACAGAGGTACCTTCACATGAGATTTGGACAGCATACAATTTGGTTGTATGAATCACCATCTGACATGAAAGTCACTCTCTGATGGATGAATCATTTTCTAAGCATGGGCAGCTACTGAACTGAGTTCACCTAGCTTTCAGATGGCCAGAGTTGCACATGATAAATCCCTTGCTGCATGGGCGTGCATGCTCAGGTGCATGTATATGGGAAGAGTTGCTTCCCTGTGTCTTCTTACCCACAAAGGTGAGACTATTGGCACTTTTATGTAGGTCACAAAGCAACAAATGACTTTTACAATTGGGAAGCTTCAGAAATTGCCTGAGCAGTGACCGATAGATCAGTGTGTTGCTTTGTTAACATTTCCCCACTCAGTTTTAAATCAGTAGAAATATAAATGGCTTCATTCTGTATTTTTTATTTTCCCTTATTGAAAAGTCTTAGCAGGCTTCATGATCTTTTGATGGGCTTAGGAAATGGTTATTAGTCATCTCCTTCCCCTCATACCAGGCAGCAGACTGTTTAATGTTAAATCTTCCTGTGAGCTCCAGAGGGCTGCAAATTAGCACTGTGTATAAAGCAATGAGTGAGGTGATGGGCATTGGTATATATCCCATATAAGTACCAGTTCAGCGTATATGTTTTCACAGTAATCTTATTAAAATACTGTAAATCAATAAACAAAAACTGTAAAACCATAAATGTTCAAACACTGTGTGATTAAATTGAGTGAATCAAAATCCCAGATGCTATTTTGGTCCTGTGCTGTGCTGAGATTTCGTTATTGTTACTGACACCACAACATCTGCAAGGATAATTTTTACATTCATTATATTTACTGTGTTGCTGAGAGAATTAGAAGCCCCTGAAGTACATCTTAAAAGGTTTTATTGTACTATAAAAGACTCTGTCACTTTAAACTCCATTAGGCGAGCTCTTCAGGTTAGTAATGAGATTCTTCGGAAGAGGCCAAGACAATAGAGCGCAAGGGTCTTATCCCAGCTCCTCACAAACATTGAAACATGTCATGCACTGACCTGAGAGAAAACAATTTATATAAAAGGCTCATTGAATTCATGGCCTTGGAGTTGCAGTATGGATTTGGCAAGGCTTCTGTTTTTTGCTTTGTTTAGACCTGTGCCATACATCTGCCTCCACTTCTGGGCTGAAGACAATATATGTGATAATGCAGAAGAACTTGGGACATATTTGACTAGTTTTACTTTAATTCTTTCAGAACCATTGTTATATTTCATTTATGCACGTATATTTTATTGATCTTTATATAAAGGAGAACTCATTGGTGTCTGTAAAGGACTTCCCAATAGCCTGAGCAGTTTTGGTGCAGAAGGTCCAGCCACTGCCTCCTCTGCTGACTGCTACCCTGGTGACAGCATGCTACTACTGATACAAGAGTGTGATTCTGCCCATAGCCTGCAGGATAGTCTTCTGAGACTTTTACTACTGAGAATCTTCAAGACACCCCTGCAGTAATCATGAAGTATAAATATTTTACAATTTTTACCAGATTTTATGAAACAGGAACAATTTTCACCTCTGGACATTTTTACTATTATTCTTTATTAAAAAGGAAAACATACCATTTTTTTGAATTCTTTTCTTTCTTTTAAGTTCTTTTTCTACTTTTCATTTCATATGATTTTTCCAAAAGGGAGGGGAAAGTGTATTGGGCTAATAATAAACCGAAAAGATCAATAAAAGCTTCTGTCCATGCTTTTTTTCCCCCTATTTGCAATGTCTTGGGATGCTAAAGGGATCCTGAGATGCTGGTGCAGCTGAAAACACAGCTGCGATGCAGGACAGACAATAACAGAGTAACCGTGACGATGCAGCACAGCGGTGGCTCAGGTGTGACAGAGCTGAGCTGGCACAGCGGTGACCACACAATGTCCCTGGGCGGGAGGTGGCTATCACTGAGCGTGCTTGAGCATGTGGATCTTTTGCTAACTGTAGATGGCAACCCACATGCAGGATGCAGGGTGCAGTGTTACAGAGACTTTTGCCCTTTGGACAGTGTTGCTGGTCAGGTGGGCAACAGGAACAGGATCATAATCATATTTGCTTTGTGGGTGAAGGCTTTGCTCATTATTTGTTTGAACAGTCCACTTTCCCAAATTAATACTGTGTTTGCTCTTTCTGCCACACACACTGCTAAGAAAGCATGTCTTTTTTTGATATCTTCAATGGCTGAGAAAGAAGAAACATTTCCCACTCGTTGAGCCCAGAGACAATAAGAAAAATTACTTGAATTTTCTGAACCAGAAGTATGAAATGATCTGTTCATTAATGTTAAGAGGCATCTCTGTATAGCTGAACCTGTTCCTTGCTTCTGCTCTTACAGAGAGGTCGGCAGCTCTGCAGGGTGATGAGGCCTTTCCTAAGACATTGATGAGATCTACCTTCAGAAGATGTTGAGATCTACCTTCAGAATTGTCTCTCTCTATTGACTATAGAGACCTTAGATACCCCTAGGGTGACCCTAGATAATGACTTCGGAGTTTGACATAGCTAAAATGAGATAACATAAGCTTCAACCTTATTCTATTATTCATTATCTTTTGAATGTTATGAATTTACACTAAGGTCTGCAAAGGCAGCATTATAGGACCATTTCTAAAACAAATATAAGCGACAGAGTCACTTCAGGTCATTTCAGGAGTTTGCTGCTTATTTACACGAACATCACCAACTGACCTGTAGCCCTAATTTCCCCATTACAAGAACAA